GAGGAGCAAGACCCAAGAGTTATGCAACACATGCAGCAATGGCAGATCTCAAAGGTGTCTTCTCCGGGCTCCTGGCCAAGGGAGATGGCAAAGTTTCTGACCTGGAATGTTAATGGATTGAATTCTCCTCAGAAAAGGAAAATTTTTTTTTACTATTTGAAGCAACATAACAATGATGTTATTTGTTTACAGGAGACTCATATTTTACTTAAGGATCAGAAATATTTAGTTAATGCTCGTTTGGGATCCCATTTTGTATCTTCTGCTCCTGGCAAAAAGGGGGGAGTTGTTATCTATGTGAAGCAAAATTTGCCAGCTTGTCTGGTAGAATCAGATCCCCAAGGAAGATATGTGATGATTGAACTTGGCTTGTATGGTAAGAAAGTACTTATAGTGGGACTCTATGCACCAAATCAGCAACAGGAACAATTTTATAGGTTGTTACATCAAAAAATAACTTTGCTGGACTATAGATCCGTGGTATTAATGGGTGATTGGAATGGTGTCTTAGATATACAAAGGGATAAGAAAGGTTCTTCTCCTTTTTTTAAACAAGCAAAATTACCTAAAGCTTTTTTTGACATGAATGAGGACTGGGAACTAAGGGACTATTGGCGGGAATGTAATCAAGAGGAGAGAGATTTCACCTTTTTCTCAGATAGACACCAATCCTTCTCAAGAATTGACTTTTTTTTATTACAACAGACTTATATAATAGAGTAAAGAATGTAAAGATTTTTCCTAGGTCGCTGACGGATCATAGTCCAGTCTGGATGGAGCTGATTCAAGAAAAAGAGGAGAGAAGATCCTGGAGAGTGAATGAGAATCTATTTAGACAAGAAAAGAATGTTCAAAAGTTAAAGGAGTGTTTAAAGGACTATTTTGCTTTAAATATGTATAAGGGGACTTCAATGTCAATGGTATGGGATGCAGGCAAAGCATTTATGCGTGGCATCTTGATAAAAATGAATAACTGTCATAAGCGAAAGCAGACTCAGAAACGTAAAGAATTGGAAGATGAAATTAAATTAAAAGAAAAGTCTTTGATCTTAAATCCTTCTGATGAAAGTATTAAAGAATCTGTAAAGTTATTAAGGACACAATTTAATATGTTGTTAGCAGATCAAGCTGCAACCAACTTATTGTTTATGAAACAAAATACATTTTGTAATGCTAATAATCCAGGGAGATGGTTGGCTTACCAGCTAAGAAAGAAACAGAGACAGAGAATAATAGATAAAATAAATTATCAGGGTAAATTAGTTTCTCAGAAGGAATTGATTAAGAAATCTTTTTTGGACTATTATCAAAAATTATATAAATCTACCAATGTTCAAATTTTAGATATAAATAAATATTTAAATGAGGCTAGTTTTCCCAAACTGACAGAGGATCAGAAACAGGAAATTAATGGCTTAATTACTAAGGAGGAAATTGTGTTAGCAATTCAACAATTGAAACTAGGGAAAGCACCGGGTACGGATGGGTTAACAGCTGTTTATTATAAAGCCTTAATGGAGGAGATGACTCAGCCATTAGGTGATCTTTTTAATGCTATTTTACAGGGTCTAGAGATTCCTCCTTCATGGCGTAGTGCTTTTATATCATTGATTCCAAAAGAGGATCAAGATCTTACTTTACCAAAGAATTATAGGCCTATATCTCTTTTAAATGTGGATTATAAGATATTTGTAAAAATTTTAGTAAATAGGCTCATGAGGGTTGTGCATTATCTTGTGCATAAAGATCAATCTGGGTTTATATCTGGAAAGTACATGAAAAATAATGTTAGACAAATTATTAATTTATTAGAATATTTAGACAAGAACAACCAAGTTTCCGCAGGGCTGATATTTTTAGATGCTGAAAAAGCTTTTGATCAACTGAATTGGCATTTTATGTTAAGAGTAATGGAAGAGATGAATTTTGGTGAAAAGATAGTACAAGCTCTTACGGTAATATATCAAAAACAAACGGCACAACTTATTGTTAATGGAGGGTTGTCAGAGGTTTTTACAATAGAGAAAGGTACTAGGCAGGGATGTCCATTATCACCGTTGTTGTTTGTTTTAACATTGGAAATATTGTTGATCAAAATTCGAGAGTCGCAGGAAATTAAAGGAATAGAAGTTAACAAAAAAGAATACAAGTTAAGAGCTTTTGCGGATGACTTGGTTGTTACTTTGTCGCAACCTACTTATTCTGCAGAAAAGTTATTACAACTGATTCATTATTATGGTGTGGTTTCGGGTTTTAAGATTAATGTTAATAAGACTAAAATTTTACCTAAAAATATGACTAGTCAGGAGAAGCAGACTTTGGTTAACTTGACGGGTTTTGAAATTGTTAATAAGGTAAAATATTTGGTGGTGATGCTATCTGTTTCTAACGCAAAACTATTTAAAAATAACTATGAAAGGTTGTGGGTTAGGGTACAGAAAGACTTGAAGAATTGGGAGAAGTTGCAATTATCCCTCATGGGAAGAATTGCAGTGATAAAAATGAATATTCTACCCAAGTTTCTCTTTTTGTTTCAAATGTTACCGATTTTGAAGAATGAGATTAATCTAAGTGAATGGCAGAAAGGCCTTAATAAATTCATTTGGGCAGGGAAAAAGCCAAGGGTTAAGTTTAAAATTATGCAAGACTTCCGTGAGAGGGGTGGACTCAAGGTACCGAATTTGAAATTATACTATGATGCGGTGGTTCTAACACTAATTAGTGATTGGGTAAATTTGACAAATCCTGAGATACTCCATCTAGAGGGATGGGATTTACTTTTTGGGTGGCATGCCTATTTAATATTTAATAAAAAAATGGATTGGGTCTTTAAAGCTCATATTCTAAGAATTTCTTTACTTAGGACTTGGAGAAAATATTATAAAAGTGATTTTAAAGTACCATTATGGGCTATACCTTGGCATGCGATAGAAGGAATAAAAAGAGGTGCTAAAATGGATATGGTGTCTTATAGACAGCTACTTAGATGGGATGGACAAAACTGGCAGTTAAAATCACAGGAAGAGTTAGCACAAGAGAATATTATTTACTCTTGGTTCCAATATAGGCAACTAGTAGATAGATGGAAGGTGGATTGTAAGGTGGGTTTTCTTAGAGAAGATGAAAATTTTATTAAGCAAGTGAAGGATCAAAGACAAACCCACATTAAGAGGATTTATGGGGTTTTAGTTGAATTGGACTCAGAAACGGAACTAATTAAAGATTGTATGATCAGATGGGCGCAGAACTTTGGTGAGCCAGTTCCATTGGACACCTGGGAAACCATCTGGGTGAGAAATGTCAAATTTACACAAGCACAGAACTTAAGGGAGAATTTTTACAGAATGTTTTATAGATGGCACCTTGATCCACAAAAAATGTTTCTTATGTACCCTGACCTACAACCTAAATGTTGGAGATGTGGTTGTATGGATGCTACTTTTTATCATATTTGGTGGTCGTGTAGAGAGATAAAAGCATTTTGGATTAAGATATGGTGGAATATCCAGAGAATTTTTAGAAGGAGGATAAAATTTACTCCGCAATTATTTTTGTTGGGTATAGTTACTGATTGTGATACAAAGGAGGTTATATTGATGTTAAATTTGATTACAGCCGCGAGGCTGTTAGTAGGACAATATTGGAAGAAGGAATCTTTGCCTACATTGCAGGAATGGTTTCTTAAAGTGTCTTATTTGGCGGAAATGGCAAAGATTTCGGCTTTTTTAAAGGAACAAACGCAAGAGAAATTTCTTGCTGTTTGGGATAAATGGATAAAATTTATACAGTTTAAACTGGATATAAAAATATCATATAGCCTTTTCATAATCTTTATTTATATATATATAAATATATATTTTAATGTTATATTTTCTTTTTTTTTTACAAATATAATTTTTTTAATTGTTTTTTAATTAAGCCTATATTCTGCTCTGGGAAGCTCGGGGGGGGGAAGGGGGGGTGTTTGGGTGGGGGTTGGGGAAGGGGGGTTTTGTTGTGTAATGTTTAGGTTTTTTTTGTATATGTTGCTTTTTGTTTTTGTACTGTTTTGTTCTTTTTGTAAAACTTATAAAACTTTTTAATAAAAAAAAAATATAGAAATTAAAGGACTGGAGATAAAAGATGAAAAATATAAACTACAAGCATTTGCAGATGACTTGGTTTTCATATTGGAAGATCCATTGGAAACAAGCACTAAACTTATGGAGAAAATAGAAAAAAATTGGAGAAGTGGCAGGGTTGAAAATAAACAGAGAAAAGACTAAAGTGCTAACAAAGAATCTAACAGAAAAACAAAAAATCATCTAACAAAAAAACCCCAAATCTTCAAATAGTTAAAAAAAGTCAAATATGTGGGAGTTTATCTAACAAGATGTGTAACAATAAAAGAAGGTTATAAGATTAAGATTGCTAAAACAAATAAAATTGGATCTGGAAAAACTTACAACTTTCAATGCTAGGGAGGATGGCAACAGTGAAAATGAATATCTTACCAAAAATACTCTTTTTATTTCAAATGATTCCTATAAGGCTGGGAAAAGCATTTTTTGATGAAGTGAATACAACAATATTGAAATTTATCTGGCAAGGAAAAAAAGCTAGAATTAGACTGAAAATACTACAAGAAGCAGAAGAAAGTGGAGGATTTGGACTGCCGGACTGGACGTTATATTACCAAGCAACTATTTTAACATGGCTTAAAGAATGGATAATGCTTAGAGATATATTATATCTAGAGGGGCATGACCTACAAATCGGTTGGCATGCCTTTCTGTGATATGGGAAGAATAAAACACATAGGTACTTTCAAAACCATTTTATAAGAAATGCACTTCTTTCAGAATGGGAAAAAATAAAAGCAAAAATTTATATTAAGATACCTGGATGGCTTTCAACAATGAAAACTTTCGCTTACCCAAATTTAATTAATTACAACAAAGTTGTGACTTATAAAGATATTTTGGACAATGAAGGAAAATTGAAAGACAGACAAGACTTACAAGAACAAGGTATTGATCTGTCATGGTGGCCATATCTGCAAATTCCAAAGAGATATGAAAAAGATGTTAAAATAATGGGATTTTATAAGGAACAGACAGAATTTGATCAGATACTGTTAAAAACAGATGAAAAGCTGATTAAGAAACTCTATAAATTTCTGTTAAACTTAAAGATGGAGGAAGAACAAATTAAAGAAACGATGATAATATGGGCAAAGAACTTTGGATATAATATAAAATTAGAAGACTGGCAAAAGTTACGGGAAAGAAATGTTAAATTAACTAAAGCAGTGGCATATATAAAAAAACTTATATAAAATGTTTTACAGATGGCATATGACACCAGTGAGATTAGCAAAAATGTTTAAAAATAGTTCAAACAAATGTTGGAAATGCAAACAAAGACCAGGTACTTACTATCATATCTGGTGGACATGACAAAAGCAAAAAGATTTTGGGTAAAAATACATTTGTGGTTGGAGAAAATGACTAAAAAACAAATAGATTTTAAGCCAGAATTATTTTTGTTAAGAATAATAGGAGCAAATTATAAGAAAGATTGTATATATTTAATTTTACACATACTAATTGCAGCAAGAATTGTATTTGCCCAACATTGGAAAAATGAAAATTTACCAACTGAAGAAGTATTAATTAAGAAAATTATAGAGTGTGCAGAAATGGACAGATTGACTTTAAAGATAAAAGAGAAAGAAGACTCAGTGTATTTTAGAACATGCAATAATTTCTATCAGTGGCGAGAAACATGAGTTAGAGAGAAAGGAATCTGGTATGTAACTTTGAATATATATTAGTAAGAAGAAGACTATTGAGCAATTAATTAATATATTATTTATGATAATTAACTATTATCTGTTATTTCTTGTTAAACATATGAACCCAGACATTATGCTGTTTGCTAAATATTAAGAATGTTATTTGGAAAAACCCCAACCCTAACCCTAGCCCAATCCCACCTTATTCCTAACCCTATAAAAACTAATAAAATTTATATAAAAAAAGATCTGTTTATAAGTGAAGAGAGAATTCTTTTGCCTCCTTTCTTAATTAAAATATATACGTTAATATTACTGGTAGCTCTCAGTAGACTTTTGCTGATTAGGACTGAATCATATATTTTTGCAACTTGATTATTACACAGGATGAGATATGGGGAAAAGTTTTTTTTTAATTGAAGTATTGGAGAAAGTGTCAAATTATTCAGATTGTTTATACTAGTCTAGAGGAAGGAAGGAGTCATATTTTACATTTCTTCTTTTTCTTTTCTTTTCTCTTCTCTTTTTTCAATTTTCTTTTTCTTTAATTTTTATATTTTATTTATTTTGTATTATTTTTTATCTTTCCATTTATAAACTTTAATAAGATTATTGTAAAAATATAAACAATATAATAAATATTCAATGGATAATATTGAAAACTTCAAAAAATAGTAAGAAAGCTTATAAATAAATTATTTAGCTGATTAACTGATGCTAGAAAATTTCTTAAGACTATTTTCAGGTGCATTAGTAAAGCAGAACACCTATAAAATATTCATGATAGTCTTCTAACAATGAAAGTGATATTGCATTTCTTTAACAATAAGAATTCTTACACCGCCTTTGGCATAACAGAAGGCTTCCATTTTAGCATTCTGATGGAGTACATATTCATGGAATTTTCCATTCATAAAAAGTACATGACAATTGATTTAAAAATTCTCTTTTTCAGGCGGATGGCAATACAAAGATTAATCTATGTATGTGCAACAATCTGAATTTGAAGGGGAAAAAGAATTTGGAGAGTGGATGGTTGTGTCTGATTCTGTTATTATATTATAATATACTGGTACTATACTATAATAATAAAGTGGTATTCCTGGAATCTCTATGGGAGTATTTCTCAACCTCAACAGTTTTAAGATGTGTGGACTTCAGTTCCCAGAATCCCTCAGCTGTCAAACTGGCTGGGGAATTCTGGGAATTGAATTCCCCACATCTTAAAGTTTTTGAGGCTGAGAAAACTGCTCTGTGGTGTCTGCTCCTTGAACTGGAGGGCTGGTGCTGATTAGATGGTCTTCTTCAAGACCAGTACAATTAAAGGCAACAACCAAAGAGATGCTTAAATACTCACTGTGGATGGAGCTTGTATAAGGTACCATCCACTCCGATGGTAGTTTTGAGGCGCTCAACTTTCCTGTTGTCACGTATCTTCTCAACAACAGCAGCCAATCCTGCTCCACAGAGCTGGGCAGCTCTTTTTGAAACACAACCACACACTTCTTTCACAATGATGCTGTCATCACAAGTCCCATCCAGCCCGAGTTGTTGCAGGATTCTTCTCACTTGCAGCAGGGCAAGACGATCACTATGCTCAGCCAAAATAGAACAGACCCTTTTAGATTACTCAAAACAGTACTTCTTAGAAAGAACTAGAAAGCTGCATTTCTGCTTTTTAAGAAATATTTTGCTGGTATGTTGGTTCCTTAGCACTATATTCCTCCCACCTATGACTATGGTTCCTTTTAAAGCAGGATTTAGAATGATTGATCATGTGCCATCAAGTTATTTATGACACCTAGCAATCACATAGACCAGGGGTCTTCCAACTTGTCCCTTTTATGACTTGTGGGCTTCAACTCCCAGAATTCCTCAGCCAGCATGCCTGTCATAAATGTCATAAAAAGGCCAAGTTGGAATACCCCTGACATAGACAGACGTTCTCCATGATTTAAGAAGGCACTTTGTCTGAATATTACATGCTACTCTTACCTTATGTCACAACACCCTGAAATACAACCCAAAATAATTCTTGAAACGTTTAAGATGACATTGCCATCACCAGCAGAAGAAAACATCTCCTTGTCCAGATATTCCTGAACAAGGGCTCCCAGGAGCCACAGAAAGCTAAAACCTGGAAGGCTATAGATTTAAACTCCTTTGCAAAACAGTCTGTCTGTCCATCTGTCCGTCCGTCCCTTCCTCCCTCCGTCCCTCCCTCTCCCTCTCATAATATATTAGATGATAGATGATTTAATAGATGAGAGAGAGAGAAAAAAAAACTTCAAGGAAAGGCTCATGTATTCATCAGAAATCACCTTTCTCCCCCTATTCAAGTCAGATCCAACTTCTGGTGACCACCTGGACAGGTCAATGCAATTTTGTAGGGAACATCTGCGGAAATAGGATTCCTATGGCTAAGAAAGTGACTGATCCAAAATCACCCCATAGACTTCTACATGTAAGGCAGGACTAGAACTCATGTTTTCCTACTCCTACTCCAACAGCTTAACCATTAGACCTGTAAGCCAAGGACAGACAGAGCCTTGGGCGGAGTCAAGAGAGGAATCAGCTTGGAGTTGTTACTTTTCCACAAGAGTTAAGTCTGTTAACTCTTATCTAATGCCAATTTATTGCTGACCATTAGTTGACGATTTCTGTGTATAGACGTGAGCAAGAAACTTAACGTGTAGTCTTGATTCTTTGTGTCTGAGAAGACCAAACTGGCTCTCATAACTGAGTCTTAACCTTTTATATAAGAAAAACATATAAATAAATCATGAATCCCATTCAGCTGTTTGTTGTCTCCTATGTGGTAGAGAAGTAGAAGACAGGAAATGGAGAGAAAATGCTGTTTGTGCAACACAAATCATACCTTTCAATCTGAGACAAGTATTTTGTTTCACATATTCCTCTTCTTCTCAGAGATTCTGAAATCTGGCCTCTGAATAGAAGTCCTCTCTTTGTCAGGTCTATCAAGATCTGTCTCACTATTTCACCCAAATACATTCCACTTGTCATTTTCTCATATCTATTTAACACCAAAGAAAAAACATCTGGATTTGAATAACACCAAGCAGATTGTTCATTGTTGCTATGCATAAATGGCCTTTCAAGTAGCGGGTGTAATAAAGCTTTCCCTAATCTTGTTTTCTCCAGTGTAGAATTGTTAACATTTCAGAACAACCAAAGGACATTTCTCAAACAAAGAATTGGTCAAGGACGTTTAATCTTACCTATTGCTATATTTAATATTTTAATAGTAATACTTTAATATTGCTAGTGTTATTTAACACACAGATGGTTCTTGATTTACAACCATTTGTTTAGTGACCACTCAAAGTTACAACAGCTTGGAAAAATGTGACTTATGACCAGTCATCACACAATTATCACAGCATTCCCACAGTCCTGGGATCAGTGTCCCAAGGTCGTGGGATTGCCATTGTCATCCTTCCCAGCTGGCTTCTGGCAATCAGAATCAATGGAGGATTCACTTAATAAAACTGCAATTCATGTCATAACACTGAGTCACTTAATGACCATGGCAAAAAAAGGTCGTAAAATCAGGCACTACTCTCTGAAGCTTGCTTAGCAATGGAGATTCCAGTCCCATTTGTAATCATAAGGACTACCTGTATTTTCATTAGACAATATGGAATTATTATGAAAAGCTGTAATACAGTAAGATTCATTACTATGTTGCAGATTACTATACTCAAGAGATTATGTACTATTTTATTCTAACATGAATTTTTGGAAAATTTTTAAAATTATATTTCAAAATACAATGTACTCCACACTGTAAATGAGAGGGTAGTCATTTACATAAGACAAAGATTTTAATTACGGCATGTTTGTTCAGGGATGTCCACACTGGGGGCAAAATAGTCAGAGTGACCCAAGTTGTCTCAAGACACAAACCCCACCCCTTCTTTTTGCCTGTTGCTACATCACAACACATTGTCCATCACTAAGCAGGATGCCACTGCAATACTCTTTTTATCAGTGAGACCTTGCAGGTGCCATTGTGATTGCTGTTACATTTTTATAATGCTGTAAGAAACATTAGATGCATTGATACAATATCCACTTTAAGGATGTTAGCTCACAATATATCTTTTAATCTTTCTGTTTTTTTTCTTTATTATGGCTTTGAATAAAAAAACAAAACTGTATTTTTCCTTCTTCCACTCCAATATTCGGAAACTCATCTGAGCATTAACTCCAAACTTCCAGCTGGAGGAGACAGATTATATTTCTAATATTTTGCATTGCCTGCTCTATAGCAGAAGAGACTGAGTTCCGGAGAAAACCCATAATCTTGGTTGTGGCACCACAACATGTACCCTTACTTTTGTTTCCCAGGATTCAGAGACCCCGAGTCCACCTCTTTATCATATTTTGTCCTGAAATTATCAATGCAGCCATTGTCACCAAATCCTCCCCACTCTGTGTTGATGCACATTCTGCCTGCATCTCCTTCTAAAATTTCTATGTGCTTCATTTCTTCCATATAGCACACATTACTGCCTGTCCCTGAAAGACAGAAAGAAAAAAGAGGCTTTAAAAGAGTAAAAAGTTCTTATTTGGAAAAAATTCAGAGAAGAGCAACTAAGATGATCAAAGGCCTGGAGACCAAAACATACAAAAAATGGCTGCGGAACTTGGGTTTGGCTAGTCTAAAGAAAAGAAGAAATAGGGGAGACATCAGCAGTATTGCAGTATTTGAGGGACTGCCACAAGGCAGATGGGGTCAGGTTGTTCACCAGAGCACCAGAGGGAAGGACAAGAAACAATGGTTGGAAACTGATCAAAGAGAGAAGCAACCTGGAACTAAGGAGAAACTTCCTGACAGTGAGGACAATCAACCAGTGGAACAGCTTACCCCCAGAAATCGTGGGTGCTCCATCACTGGAGGCTTTTAAGAAGAGACTGGACAATCACCTGTCTGAGATGATATAGGTTATCCTATTTGAAAGGGGACTGAACTAGAAGACCTCCAAGGTCCCTTCCAGCTGTAGAACACAAAATAGTAACTGTTCTAATGGTTACTATAGAAAGAGTCAGGCTACATAATTGGGCTGAAAAAATCCAGACAGTAAGGAAAAGTACAAGCCAAATCAATATCTTGTACCATTTTCTTCTTTTGCAGGCCATTTCTTCTTTTGCAGGCCATCAGTGAAAATTAGCACCATCCCAGTTATCTACTGTACCTTCCTGTTGCTCAGGGATGTTAAAACACAATGCAAAAACCTGTGCTATTGTCTTCTGTATATTTCTCTCATTTTACCTGCAATGAGGCCAATTTCACAATGGGGGTCTTCATAACCGCACGTCATCATCGTCCCAACAGTGTCATTTACCACTGCTACGATATCCAAATCAAATTCCTGAAACAAAAATTGAGTGAGGGGTAGCTAGTGTTATAATGTAGCATGTCTTAGGACACTGGCTGAGGAATTCTGGGAGTTAAAGTCCACAAGTCATAAAAGGGCCACGTTTGAAGGCCCCTGCCTTAGGGTTATATGTACTTGCAAAAATGCTCCACCTAACAATGATCTGATTTGAATAATCATTTAAATCACTGGTTGGACACTTGCATTCTTCTGCCTTACTCTATTTCACTTTAGCAACCGGTAAACAAAAGTGTGCATAACATTGAAACAGCCCCTGAAAAAATCTCACCAGTTATAAATGTAAAACAAATTCAGTTCAGCACATACTAGTTATAATTGCAAAGCCAGCTGGAGAAATACATTCCAGCCTTAACTCCTCTATTCTTGGCTAACCGGTTTTGATGGAGCAAGTGTGAAAAAGATGCACAACTCAATCTGGCTAAGTTTCCTCTTATCATAGGGCTCCATCGCTCAGCAAAACCACTCTTCAGACCTTCTACATTTGTTGTTGTTAATTGTGAAGTCGTGTCCGACCCATTGCGACCCCATGGACAACGTTCCTCCAGGTCTTCCTGTCCTCTACCATCTTCTGCAGTCCATTTAAGTTCATGCCTATTGCTTCAGTGACTCCATCCAGCCTATATTAATTCTACATTAGGGGTCTTCAAACTTGGCCCTTTTATAACTTGTGGACTTCAACTCCCAGAATTCCTCAGCCAGGCACACTGGCTGAGGAATTCTGGGAGTTGAAGTCCACAAGTCATAAAAGGGCCAAGTTTGAAGACCCCTGTTCTACATCAGTGTTATTCAGACCTGGCAACTTTAAGATGCGTGGGCTTCAAATTCCAAAATTTTCCAGCAGTCCACTCATCTTAAAAGTTGCCAAATGTGAAAAACACTGTTCTACATCAACATTGGTTCATATAAAGCAAAGTGAGCAACTTGTTACCGGATAGCTGCTCAGGGATTTTGGGAGAAAAAAAAAAATGCATGTTTACAAATCTTTGGTGCCAATGCTAGCTTAAACCTCAAGACAGTGGAAAGAGGAATTGTTTTATTTTAAAATAATCAATTGAGTAATAAACTGGTATAAATCACTTGCATAATGAGAAGGAAATCTGCATTTTTAGATTACGTTGCTGGGTTCTCAGCAACCTGTTATATATTTTTATCATTACTGCCAATTCTCAGTTATTCTTTTGGCATGCTGGCTGAGAAATTCTGGGAGCTGAAGTTCAGAAGTCATAAAAGGTTTGAAGACCCCTGGCTTAAAGCAACTATATCATTTTTCTCACCCTGCAAAGACCTTGATCAAAGATGAGCTGTTTTAATGAACTGGAGTGCAATTTGGGGTCCCCGCAAATTCTTAAAGAGTTTCTTCTGAATCAATTTCCAAGTGTAAAAGACCTCATGATTTCTACATTTATCTTTTTTTATTGAAAAGTTTTATACAAATTTATTATAACAATACAATAACCCCCCCTCCCCCCACCCCAACCCTCCCCCCCACTTCCCAGAGCTGATTACAGGGTTAAAAAAAAAAATAAGCAAACAAATTTTAACTAAGCTTATCCAACTATACCAATAACAAAATCCCTAAAATACTTTAACTCAAATACAAAAACTCCCAGTTTAAACTATAAGTTAATCAAAAACTAAATACTTTCCAATCCCATATTTATTCTGTACAAAATTTATCCATCTTCTCCACACCGAGATGTATCTTTCTTGTGAATGATCTTTCAAAATAGGCAGAAATTTTGGCCATTTCTGCTAAATTAGAAACTTTAAACAACCATTCTTCTATAGTACATTTATCTTAATAATTCTGAATGAAATCAATAGGAAGATTGCAGTAAATAGTGGCTTCTGTTCAACCCTAGTGGGAGGGCTCTAGCTCAAAAGAGATGCAGGATACTTACATTTCTCCGTTTTATCGCTTCCCTTAGCAAGTCAACAACATCCTCCCCTTCGCAATTGGTTGCCTTGAAACCTTTTGTCCACCCAACAAGAGCGCCCTGGAAAGTAAAAGTAGTAATACAAAAAAGACAATTAAAAAGTGTTTACTGAAGGGAGAGAAAAGAATTGAATCACCCAAACTCAAAACTGGCTTTACATTTTTAGGAAAGACTCATTTCAAACTACATTTTCAAAGAATGTTTAAATCAGGGGCTTCCAACCAGTGGCAATCTTAAAACCTGTTGGCCAACTCCCAGAATTCCTCAGCCAGACTGGCTCGCTAAGGAATTCTGGGAGTTGAAATCCACTAGACTTAAAGTTGCTAAGGTTGGACATCCATGATTTAAATAATGTCCAAATTTACCTTCTGATAGAAAATGTTATTTCTTGGAAGAGAGAGCAGGAGGATTATGCTGTTCCAACTTTCTTTTGATGTTGAAATTGACTTTTTGCACAGAACAAAGAATAGAATAATATAGAATAGAATAATAACTTTATTATTAGTCCAATTTTTAGAAACTAGTCTAGCAAACAACACTAAACCTGTGTTTAAAAGTAGACCCAGCATTCTTTCAAAAGAGTGCTAAGCCCATGTTTATAAGAAACCCACCTTGACCTGACAAATGTTTTGGAAAGCAATGATCAGTTATTTTTATCTGTAGATGCTTCTCCACCAGCCAGTTTAATGGAGTTTCCTGCAGCCAAAACTGAAATAACACAAAGGGCAAAGCCTAGTAACCACTAGCCATTGAAAACTGCACAAATCCTACTAAAGCATGTGACTGTGGCAGGAATTACAGCAGGAGAAGAGGGAGAACATGAAAAGTGGAACAGCTAAGGATGACTTTAAGTTCAACCCAAAGTATAAGTAGTTCTGAACTCATTATCATAATTGGGGCTGGAACCTATGCCACTAAGCAGTGTAGTGATTAGATGAATGGTGCCCAATTTTACACTTCTTGCTGAAGTGAATCTGGCTTTCTTCACTGACTTTGCTCATCAGAATCCCCCTGGGAAGATTGCAAATGGTGATCACATTATCCTGGAATGCTGCATCTCTAATACATACATGTTGGTTGCCAAATGCCCAAAATGCGGTCCCAAGACTGTGGGGACACTGTCCTAAGTGCCAGCATCAGTCATAAGCCACTTTTTTCAGCACTATTATAACTTCAAATGGACGCTGAATGAATGGTCATAAATCAGGGATTATCTGTATAGGCTTGGGGATGGGCAAAGGCCAGATTCTGAGAATATGGGAGACAAAGTTGATTCCCAGGACGTGTCCATGCTGTGCTCAGGAAGACATGGGTCATCAGTTCCCACATAATCATGCCTTATTCAAACAAAAATCAAACAAGAATGCCTGTTATCCTCATACACTCAGCACTGATTTTATGCAGTCTCTCCTAATGCTGGGGCTCAGAATCTATTAAGACTCTGCTAGAGATAACCGAACAGGGATGGAAGCATAACATTTATTAAAAGGCATGTTCTTGTGCAACATTGAGCAGTTATTAAACCACATTGAGAGCAGAAGCCAATCAATGTGGAAAATCCCAGCCTTCATACCTTATCAATACTTGTTTGCCTGCAGGGGAAAGAAAAAGTAAAACCAAGGGGGAGCCGGGCACCTTTTAGTCCCATGTATTCCAAAAAGTCCGCAATGCATTGGACAATATGATCAAATAACTGAAAGAAAAATAATAATAATTAAAGGCAGTACTTAATACCAGTATTTTAAATACATGTGGATCAGCAAGGAGAATTGTTCAGAGTCCTGCTGGAGTGGAATAGAATATACATCCCAGGAATAAATAGTTAAGGATTAACTTTTACCTCCTCTCCTGTTCCTTGCATAATTTCCAAAGGAATTGCAAATATTTTATTGTATATCCGAACCGATTTGTTTCTTCCGCTTCTGATTTTGACAAGCAAAACTCTGAAATTTGTTCCTCCAAGATCAAGAGCTAAGTATTTCCCCTTTTCTGCAAAAGAAAAATAAATTTTTAGTAAAATCCTTCTCAATTGCTTAGAATATTCCTCTCCAGCTTACAGACTACAAAACATCTCAAAAATGCCTTTTGCCTATCTAAAATATACTGAATTCTAGGCAGGTTTGCTCCCAAGTAATTATATTCAGATAGAGGTAATTCAATTATGATATACATGTATTCCACGCCTTATGACTACGATTGAGTCCAAAATTTTCATTGTTTAAGCAACATAATTGTTAAGTCCCCCATTCTGCAACCTTTCTTGCCATAGTTATTAAGTGAATCCTTGCAGGTACTAAGTTAGTAATACAGTTGTTAAGCTTTCCCATTGACTTTCCCATTGACTTTGCCTGTCAGAAGGTTGCAAAAGGGATCACATGACTCTGGGATACTGCGACTCTGATAAGTACATGCCAGTTGCCAACCATCCGAATTTTGATCATGTGACACAGGGATACTGCAATGGTTGTAAGTGTGTGTTAATGGCCGTAAGTCACTTTTTCAGTGGTGTTTTAACTTTGAACAGTCACTAAATGAATGGCTGTAAGGACCACCTGTAGTTCCAATCCCTGACCATTCCTTGACCATTCTCCAGATCTTTCCAGAAAGCTAAAGTTTAGGGTACATTAGAAACATCTAAACTTTCTATTCATAATTAATAGTGTTATAGCACTAGACCAAAGATACTTCATCTTTTTTATGCAAAATGCTGGGTCAATCTCCATTCAGTGGTGTCAGCCAGTTTGCACCAGTTCAGTAGAACTGATAGCTAAATTTTGCTGTATTCAGAGAACCGGCTGGCTTCCAGAAGTCCAGTCTAGGCCTTGGAGGCCTGGAGGAGGACTCCCAGGCCTAGAACAGCCTGCTGGAAGTGCGTGGATGCCACTTCCAGAAGTCTGTTCTAGGTCTCGGAGGTCTGGAGGAGGCCTCCCAGGCCTAGAATGGCCCACCAGAAGTGCATGAATGCTACATCCGGAAGTCCGTTCTAGGCCTCAGAGGCCCAGCCTGCATCGAATAAGAGAACCGGATGTTCAGGTATTTGAATTCCACCACTGTCTCTATTTATAACTTATATATTTTAGTATCCGTGGAAATATGCACTGAAATCAAAAATGCATTTTTTTCAAAAATAATGAAACTTGCACCATCAGAAAGATCAGCAGAAAGTTAGACTCACAGCATTTTGAGAATGTGATATATGTGTACAATCCACCTTCCCTAAAGCTCTTAAACCAGAGAGATACAGACATTATATTATGTCATGCTCTTATGTATCAGATTTTTCATAACTTCTCCTCCTCCCCAACATTTTTGAATACCCATCCCTCTCTATGGACACACTTGACATGTGGTAGGCTACCTAGAAGATAGTTAACCAGTTATAAATTCCTCCTGCTTTTTTTTCCAGATTTTTGTAAATCCTCTTGAACTCCCCAAAGTAGGTAGCCTACAAAGTTGTGAGAAAGATGAGGAGGTACCTGTGCCATCCGGTGTGCCACAAACAAACGTTGGCAACATTTTCACAGTGGCTGTTGGGTGGGTTTCTTTCTTCAGGCCATACTCCAGTTCTCTCCTCATTTTGTTTCTTACCTCGAGGAGATTCTCTCGGGTTAGTTTGAAAAGGGCCAAGACCTCGTCAATCTGCTTCCACTGAGACAGCAGCCTATAGGCCACAGCTGTAACCATGGCAGCCCCCTTCCCACTTCCGCTCTCCGAAAGCAGAAATCGGACATCACAGTTGGGCACCAACTGTCGGACTACCTTATGGAGACGCTTGGCATACCTACAAGGGAGACCAAGGAGATGGCTGCAATTGTTCTGCCAAATTTACACCTTGTAATGCAACCACTGCACAACACCAGCAGCTAACACCATTCACAGATGTCAGGTATTTTTTGTTAAGGTGATAAAAGCAGTGTCACAATAAATCCAATCCTTCTGGTTAGTTGGGACAGAAGACTCTGCCCTCCCTACAGAGGCAGGATAGGGAGGGGGATTCAAAGGGCACTTCCTCCTTCTATCCTGAGACAGCTTTGCAGGTCAATCCCTGCTTGTCTGATGGGATCACTGCCTTCCCCCATAAGAGAGAAAGGGGCTGCCATCCCATAGGTCCCCCATGCATTTTCTAAGGTACCAGAAGACTTTCTTATTTAACCAGCTTTTGAAAACCAGGCTGAACTTTAACATATTACTGCTGATATGAATAGAAGGAATTCAGCAAAAACAAAACAAAACAAAACAAAAAAACCCTAACCCTAACCATTTCCCAAATCTAAAGATAGAAACACATACACAAACACACAAGATGAAGCAAGTAGACACAAGTATATATCATTGTCAGAATCCAGTTATATTTCCTTTCTATCTATCTTCTCTGATCTAAAACCAATTCTTACCCTTCCCTAGATCCTGTCATACTTCCAAAGGGGAGGGGGGATATGCATGCGGGTTTATTACTTTCACTTCCTCTATTCACTACAAAGTAACCTTTTGTTTATTCACCTTGTGCTAACATTACAATGTAACAAATTGCCTCCTATGCTATGCACCCCTCTGAACTTCTCCTCCCTACAGGGCAGCTAGGAAAAAGGGGTGGAAGAGGTACAAATCTCCAGGATCTATTTCTCCATCAGCAGAATAAGGTGTGAAGAGCTGTTGAATGATCGTGCACAATGGAGCCGGACTGATGTTATCTTTCCTGGATTTAACACCTGGGGATTTGCCGGTCTGAACCGCCCGGAAGAACTGTGGGGTGGGGTTTGCTTAGGGACACTTTAAAACATTGATCCGTAAGGGAATCCCTCAGATCCTGTCTATTATGCCCACTATCAACTACTTTTAATAAAAGTTCCTGTTGGAAGAGATTGTTTCCAAGAGTTCTGCTTTCTTAAGATGTGGGTTGAAGTGGGTCCTTACAATCATCCTTGACTTACAATCATAATATAATGGAATGTAGCCATTATAGTTGTAAGGTGTGATGGTCATAAAGCAGGTTATCATGTGATTGGACCCAGTTTTATGACCTTCTTTGCAATGCTTGTTAAACAGATACTGCAGTCATTAAGCAAATTCATTGTTAATATCATGTGATTGGGGGGGGCTGGCCACCAGAACTTTGGAACTTAATTGTAAGGAGCTTTTGGGAGGGTCCGGCATAACTTTGAATGATTTCTAGGCAACTGATATAAGTCGAAGACTACCCGTAAACAAAATTGTTCTGCAGCAGCACTACCCACCAAGGAGCAAATCCACAAACTTGGGGATCCTCCAGGACCTGCTGCTCTCCCAGCTTCAGCCGATGCACCAGTTGCAGTGCTACTTGGGATGGGAGGATTTTGCCCCAGTGACTCACACTCTTGTCCCCACCCACTCCAGCTTCTGCAACATGTTTTACATGAGGCTGCCTTAGAAGAGTACTTGAAAGCTATAGTTGTGGCTATAGCCCAGTGGCCAATGCGCTGACTTGTGTTTGAATAGAATAGAGCTGCAAGGGACCTTGGAGGTCTTCTAGTCCAGCCCCCTGCTCAAGCAGGAGAACCTATACCATCTCAGACAAGTGACTATCCAACCTCTTAAAAATCTCCAGTGATGGAGCATCCATGATTTCTGGATGCAAGCTGTTCCACTGGTTAATTGTCCTCATTGTCGGGAAGTTTCTCCTTAATTCCAGTTGCTTCGCTCTTTGGTCAGTTTCCAACCATAGTTTCTTGTCCTGCCCTCTGGTGCTTTGGTGAATAACGTGACACACCCCCCCCTCTTCTTTGTGGCAGCAGTACTGGAATACTGCTATCATGTCTCCCCTATTTCTTCTTTTCTTTAGACTAGCCAAACCCAAGTCCTGCAGCCATTCTTTGTATGTTTTAGTCTCCAGGCCTTTGATCATCTTACGGTAGTTTCTCTTCTCTGAACTTTTTCCAAACTCTCAACATCTTTTTTGTGATATGGTGACCAAAATTGGCTGCAGTATTCCAGGTGTTGGTTGGCCAAAACCTATGGCATCGTTGCTGTGGGCCCTACACTGGCTGTTGGGGTACCATTTAAAGTGCTGATGTTAGCCTAGAAAGCCTTACATGGCCTGGCACCTCATTAGCTACAGCTCACATTCTCCTGTTGGAGTAGGCCCAAACAGCTTGATCTACCTAGGAGAAGCTGCTGGTGGTGCACCACTATAGGGAGGTGAGAGAGGTCAAGATCCTGCAATGGCCCTTTCTGGTGGCTGTCCTGTGGAAGAATCTTTCACCAAACATCCAGTTGGCTTCTACCTGGACTCTTTTCAGAAGGAGCTCAAATGGGGACTCTTCCTGGGGGGGGGGGCAATTGGACCTTGGTTGAATCTTACTACAGTTATCATTGGGTTTCGTTAATTTTATTTTATTCTGTATTTATTTCATTCTACATTATTTGAAGTTTGTGCAACTTTTATTTATTTATGTACTTTTACTGTACGTTGTTTTATCTTGTAAAATCTATGACATTTGTACTCTAATTCTGGAGACAACCGAGAGTGACAGAGACAGAGAGAGACTCAGATGAACTACTTCATTTTTGAAATACATTCTTACTAGACAGGATGTGGACTTGAATGAAATCTCAGTGGCTGATTCTACACAAGAAGAAAGTAAGCTGCCCAGAGTTGCCTTGAATTGTGAGATGGCTGAAATATAAATTTAATAAGCAAGAAAACAAACAAATAAATAAATGAGGCATATTCAACAAAGCTCAGAATTGGATCTCTTTCTCCATCCGATAGCAATTCTTCTAGCTTCCTAAATTTTTTAGGATCCAAAAGTCAGACAATGGGATATCCTCCCCACCCACCCCTCAGTTCCCCATACCCTATTTTTCAAGAACTGTGGAATCCACCCCATATGAAAAAGATCTTCAATGGCTGAAACTGATCAAAGAGAGCAACCTGGAATTAAGGAGAAACTTCCTGACAGTGAGGACAATCAACCAGTGGAACAGCTTGCCTCCAGAAATCGTGGGCGCTCCATCACTGGACATTTTAAAGAAAAGACTAGACAATCACTTGTCTGAGATGGTATAAGTTCTCCTGCTTGAGCAGGGGGCTGGACTAGAAGACCTCCAAGGTGCCTTTCAGCTTCTATTCTATTCTATTCTATTCTATTCTATTCTATTCTATTCTATTCTATTCTATTCTATTCTATTCTATTCTATTCTATTCTATTCTATTCTATTCCTCTGCAGAAACCTAAATCTAGGTTTGGCTGAAAGTTAGTGCTTTTGCTGCGTCAGAATTATGCTTCATTTAATCCTACTTTCTGCATCAATAGACAAATATTAATCAGCTGAGCAAACTAAACACAGTTTGCTCTTGTTTCAATCTATTACTTGGTAACCAGAGACAAGGAACATTTGCAGACCACTAGGCTGTTTGATTCCAAAGCCTTCATAATGCAGCTTAAATCACAACTGGGTGGTGGTTTTTTTCATCACTTTTTTTAGACCTAATGGATAGCAAAGACCATAGTCATAGGCAAGTCTGTGTGCTATTTTATAGACAGAGAGTGTAGGCATCAACATTCAAGACTCTCTCTTGATGTCTCCAATCTAGCCAATATTTATTAATGCAAAAATTATATATAAAATAAATTATTTGGGGGGTAAGCAATGATAAGCAAAATGCATAAAATAAGGAGAGCAAGCCAAGAAAATGTGGCATGTGATAAGTAAGTATCATCAGATCTACATCAGTGTTTTTCAAACTTAACAACTTGGGTAGACTTCAGCTCTCAGAATTCCTCAGCCAGAACTCTGCGAGTTGATGTCCACCCATCTTAAAACTGCCAAATTTAGAAAAGATTATCTTAATGTACCAATACTATTTACCATGCCCCTCCTTGCCTTCTGATTCTTGCAAGCCATCTTCACCTCCACCACACTTATATACTGCTTTCCTGCCATCTCCTTCTTGAAGGAGATCTTGGTTGGTATCACTATATCTGTCTACAGATCATTAGACTGTGTACAGATCATTAGACTGAAGTGCAGCACACAGTTCAGCCATCCAATCGATCCTCTGACTCATTGGAAGAAGGAAGAATTGTCCATAACTCTCCTGCTCCACACTCTTAACATCTGACTTACTGTGGATGGGTCTTGTACAGGGTCCCATCAATTCCAACTGTGGTTCGGAGCCTTGCCAGTTTCTTATTTTCACGAAGCCGTGTCAGGATTGCTGCTAAGGCCATGGCGCAGAGATTGGCCGAGCGAAATGAAACAATTGTGCAAACGTGCTGGACAGCAATGCAATCCTCTTCGGAGGGGTCCAGGCCCAGTTCCCTCAGAATTTCTTTCGTGTTGCTCAGGCCTTCTTTATTCCTGGTTCCCAACCAAGAAATTAGGAAAATGGCATTTCAGTTATGGGAAAAGATAAAGTGAATTCTTAAAAGTTGAGGATGCAGACTGTGAATTACAAATTTAGAGCTCTAAAGCTAAAAGTTTCTCATTAAGAATACATTTATGTTAGAGAAAATGATGAAAAAACATATAGAGTTTAAGCCAGAACTATCTTCGTTAGCCATAATTGTAGGAAATTATGAGAAAGAGTGTATATATTTAATTTTACATATATTAACTGCAGCAAGAATTGTATTTGCTCAACATTGGAAAAATGAAGAACTATCAATGGAGGAAGAGTTAATTAAAAAAATCTTAGAGTGTGCAGAAATGGATAGACTGACATTGAAAATGAAAGAGAAAGAAGTTTCAGTTTATTTTAGAACATGGGACACCTTTTATCATTGGCTAGAAAAACGAGATAGAGAGAAAGGAACTTAATATGTATTAGCAAGTTAGATGTTGGAATCCAGACAATATGTTGCTGTCTGAATGCTGTTTGATCATGCATTCATAGCTATCTTGATTTTTACACACATACACACACACAGAGTTCTTTGTAGAGAGTCACAGAGATGACTTTGGAGAATCAGAATGATTTAGCAGCAGCTAAAGCTAAGGACAGAACTATGCTATTCTCAAATCAATGTCAACCAGGTCTGCTTGCCATGTTCAGGACAGTAACGGTGTTTTACACATTATTCTTCCTTTTATGACCACAACCTAGCTCAAAATTTCTGTTCCTAAGTGAGACAGTTATTACATGAATTTTCCCACAATTGTTAAGTGAATCACTGTGGTTGTTAAGTTAGTAACACAACAGTTGTTAGATGAATCTGGTTTCCCCACTGACTTTGCTTGTCAAAAGGTTCGTAAAATGTGATCATATGACTCCGGGACACTGCAGCTATCAGTTGCCAAGCATCTGAATTTTGATCACGTGACTATAGGGACAGTCATAAGGGTGAAAGACAGTCATAAGACACTTTTTCAGTGCTATTGTAACTTTGAACGGTCATTAATGATTATAAGTCTAGGACTATCTGTATTATATTTTCTATTTTGCATAGATATCCAAGTGAGCACCTGACACCCACCCCACTCAAAAAAAAAAGAAATCTCACAAATCCCTCCCTTACTTTCGGCCAGGAAAAATACCACTATTAAGTCAATTAATTATTGATTTCTTTAAAAAAATCTGCTATTCTTGCATAAATACCTAAGACAGAGGTCTTCAAACTTGGCCCTTTTATGACTCATGGACTTCAACTCCCAGAATTCCTCAGCCAGGCTGGCTGAGGAATTCTGGGAGTTGAAGTCCATGAGTCATAAAAGGGCCGAGTTTGAAGATCCCTGACCTAAGATCTATTGCCTGTGGCTCTAGTGATAGAATTGAAGCCCAAACCTGCTACTTAAAGCAGCCAACTCACTTTGGACAATGTATTTAGTTAACTTTCAAGAGAACAGAAGGAAATATCTCCAGGGAAATAACTATGTTAATCCATGAGAGCAAAACTCTCAGGAGTTTTTTTTAAGAACAAATATAATTTTACATGCTTACGGGTTCAGCTTTTAAGATAATGAAGACTAAAAGAATAAAAGAATACTGTAGACTCAAATCTCTTACTTTTCCATAGCGGCCATGTGTCTTGTCTCAATCTTGCCCTTAGTACAGAGTGCTGTGGATAACTTCCCACTGAAAAGCAAGCTTTTTCTTGCCATTTTTAAAAGGATAAGCCTGACCAGTTCTCCCAGATATAATCCACTAATCATCTTCTCAAACCTACAGTATGTTCAAACAGAGAACAGTCAAATGTCAGATATATCTCTGTAGAGAGGTATCAAAAAATTAAAATGGTGAAGCTCCAAACAACATTTCATGTTTAAATGGCCTTCAATGAAAATCTTCCATTACATAATCACAACAGATGACAAATTTCATTTCACCAAATGAAAGTTTCCTTTTCAAAAACATGTCTTTTAAAATACATACATCTGATATTTTGGAGCTATTTCAGTGATGGTATTTTTGCACTTTGGAAAAATAATATGCCAAATGCCTGAAATGTGTCAGTTTGTGGTCAGTTTGCCTCAATGTTTCTCAACCTTGACAGCTTTAAGATGTGTGGACTTCAACTCCCAGAATGGCTGGCTGACAAGGGAATTGGGGGAGTTGAGATCCACACATCTTAAAGTTGCCAAAACTGAGAAATACTACTTTAGTTTATGCACATCACTGTTCTCAGCCATTTGTTTGGGGGTTTTTTAGTCCATCAGTTTGCAAATTATCTGAACCAAAAGCCAGTATAGATCTCTTTAAAAGGCCTTTGGAATATAGGGCTTACCAAGTTATTTGGACTCCAGCTCTCTCCAGTTCTTTTATATAGCACCTCGACTAATTACACCAATTCTTAGAGCTAAACTCAGAGTTACTGTGTTTACAAATAAATAAATAAACTTATTCAGTGCAATTTCTGTTCCAATGTATGCCTAATTCAGTGTTTCTCCACTTTGGCAACTTTAAGATACATGGACTTCAACTGCCAGAATTTCCTCAGCCAGCATGATAGCTGGAGGATTCTGGGAGTTGAAGTCCACACATTTTAAAGTTGTCAAGGTTGAAAAACACTGGCCTCATTTGCTACCTTAGTAGAAGGAAAGTTTTCAACAACCTGACAACTCCACTTACAACTGTTTTCCAGGATTTATAGACCCAGAGTCAATCTCCTTGTCAAACTCTGTCCTGATGTCTTCCAGAGATGCATCATCTCCAAAGGCTCCCCATTCAGTGTTAATGCACATCTGGCCTTCATCCCCTTCTACTAGATCAATATTGCTCATCTCTTCCATATAGCAAGCGTTGGTGCCTGTTCCTGCTCAGTCATCATATTTTGAAAGATGGAAAAAACAGAGAGATGAATAAACAGCTTATTTCACTCCCACACGTCAATCTAAAATGCTTTTCAAAACTATATGCATGATGTGTCCAATAACAAGATTGGTGGGGGAGGCACAGCTTGAAAAAAATTGCAATTCTGAAATATAGAATAACAGAGTTGGAAAGGTCCTTGGAGGTCTTCTAGTCCAACCTCTTGCTCAAGCAGGAGACCCTATAGTATTCTGGACAAATGACTGTCCAGTTTCTTCTTAAAAACCTCCAGTGATGGAGCACCCATGACTTCTGGTGGCAAGTTATTCCACTGATTAATTGTTCTCACTGTCAGGAAGTTTCTCTTTAGTTTTAGGTTGGAACTCTCTTTGACATGTTTCCATCCATTGCTTCTTGTCTTGCCTTCAGATGCCTTTGAGAATAAATTGACCCCCTTTCCCCTGTGATAGCCCCTCAACTACTGAAAAAATACTGTCACACATAATCCTCTCTTTGATAGGCTAGAGATACTGAATTCCCTTAACCATTTATCATACAGTTTAGCCTCCAGCCCCCTATTCAGTTTTGTTGCTCTTCTCTGCACTCTTTCTAGAGTCTCAATATATTTTTTGTACCATTGTGGCCAAAACTAAAGACAGTATTCCAAGTTTGCTCTTACCAAAGCGGTATGAAGTGGTACTAACTAAGGTGACCAACCATCCTCCTTTAGGGAGGACAGTCCTCCTTTTGTAAGTTCTGTCCTCCCTCGAAAAGTGTCCTCCTACATGTCCTCCTTTTTAATATTTGAAGACTAATCTGCAGAGCTTTTTTTTTCCTCATAGAACGCTTAGAATGGCGTTCTGGCACCTTTTTTGATGGGTTTTTTTTCAACTTTTGCATGAGCTGTGCTACTCCCCCTAATGGCTTTCGAAAGCCAATAGGAATTGCTGCTGAGCGTGCCAAACACCCAACCAGCAAACTTTGCATATGCAAGTTGTCTGCAGCGAAGGCGAATTGGCAGGAACTTAGCACCCCTCCCTGCTACCCAACTACACCATCTCCTAGTTAGTTCCGAAGATACCGTGCTGTGGGAACTGCGGGGCCCTCTCTACATGGGGCTGCTAAGGGTGGGCGGCGGTGCTGGCAGGGCGACTGCAGGCGGGGTGTGTCAATGGCGGGCTGCCCCCCCAGGGCCGGAGCTGGCATGGCTGGTGCTTTGGGAGCTGCGGGGCCCACTCTACATGGCAGGGCAGCGGTGCTGGCAGGGCGGCTGCAGGTGGGGGCGCGGCAGGTAATTGACCTTCCATGGGCTGACCCAGTTTTTACGATTTTTTTTCTTCAATTTATTTGTGTCCTCCTTTTCATTGTAAAAAAGTTGGTCACCTTATACTAACATTTCATGTGCTCTTGATACAATCCCTCTGTTGATGAGCCTAGGACCGTACTGGCTATTTTGGCAGCTGCAGCACACTGCTGGTTCCTACTTCAGTGGCTGACCACTGGACTCCTAGATCCAGTGGTGGGATTCAGCCAGTTTGCACCACTTCAGCAGAACCGGTAGCTAATTTTTTGTTGCCCAGGCCCAGAATGGATTTCCGGAACCAGCATCCACACAGAGAACCGGTTGTTCACATATTTGAATCTGACCACTGCCTAGATCCCTTTCACAGTTTCTGCTATTGAGCCAGGTACCACCTAGTCTATGCTTGTGCATTTGGTTTTTCTTTTTTCTTTTTTTTCCAAAACAATTTTTATTAGTTTTCCATTTTACACCAACACAGCTTAAGAACCCATGTGGAAACATGGTGATCAATTTTTTTAAAAAACAAACAATAACATAGTAAATATATACACATTATTTCTTAAAAATTTCCCTCTCTATCTATATAGGATATTATAATCAAATTAATACATTTTCAGATGCATTCATTCATTACTATGTCTAACCATCAACTGCATTAATCAATAAAAAATTTTAATCTATAAAAACCTATATTTCTTCACACATTTAAACTTAAGCTTAATGGACTCTCCATTTATTTAAAAACATTATAATCAAATCAATATCTTTCTAAAACCAATTCATTCACTAATATCACATTTCATCCAAGTTAAATAATTAAAAACAAACTAACATTCTCTATCTATTTATATTGTTATAAGCTCATTAAAACATTTCTAAAACAAATTTTCATTGAATATATCACTCTATATAAATTTCATTAATCAATAAAAGTTTACAAACTCATTATCCATCCCAAAGATCCTGTATCATGCTTTCTTAATTTTGCAAATATTTAATCTTAAACTAACATATTCATTTACTATTCAGGTGCCGCAAGTGTTTTTTTATTTAAACATTATTAACTCCAAAAATAAATTCTTCTCTTTCTCACCAATATTCTATTGTTTTTCACTGTTTCTCCAAATCTCCAATAATTAATTCCATCGTTTCCCATATTTCAGTTCTTTTCCCATTATACCATCTCTAATATTAAAAACATATAAAGCCCTTTTAACAAAGTCCAAATCCAAATCAATACAGATCGCTATAAAACCTTTACCACATTACTATAATCAGATTTAATATTTATATCTTATTCTGGGTTTCTTTCTAGTTCAAACAGGTTTCCATAATTGGGCCTCCGCCTGCCACACTATACACTCCAAAAAGGAAGCTCCCATTGTGCATTTTGTTAAATTAGTATAAAAGTTATAGTTAATCTGAATGACTCATAGCAGAACATCATTTCCCCTTTCTTTTAACGTTGAATAAATTTCAATTAAAATCCTTTCTTTTATATCGTCTTCTTTGATCGCGTTTTTCTGTTCTTCCCATGTTTTTTTCTCTATCTCAAAATCAAATGGCGTCTGCAAGCCAACTTGTCCTTCTGAAGCAAGATTGTCTAGTTCCTTATCATAAGTCCTTTGTCTGTTCATATCAAGTCTTTTTTCCAAAATCAATTGATTGTCCAACTGTGAGGCTACTTCTTCCACCTTGGTAAGCGGAGCACAAGCCTCTTGTGTATAAACTGATGTTTCACTTATTCCTTGTCCTTTGCCTTGTCAATACAAAGAAATCTCCTTTGAGCAAGCAATTATCTTCTCTATATTTTCCAAAATTTTGTCCAAAATGTACTTATAAGAAAATCTACACCAGTTTCCTCCATCTTTATTATATTTCAAATCCTTATCCTTTTGAAGGAGACTATATTTAAAAAATGATCACAATATCCATCTCCTCCCACTTTCCTCATCTTTTTCCTTTGTACAAAATGAAAGCCTTTCCAGCGAAGAAAAGATAGCAAGTACAATTAATAAGTTTATCAGAGAGTGTCCCCCAGAAAGTAATCAAATGTTCAATTCTTCCAGACACCATAAAGGTAATAGTAAACAATATTCTCCAAGTATTATAAAAAACTTTCTTGAGGCTCCCAATATCCAAAAATAATAACAACCATTAAAACAAAAATAAATTTGATCCTTTGTGCTTCTCTTTCCCCATTTAAAAAGCCGCTTCACCAGAAAAGGGAATAATTCCAAGCAAAAAAAACTTTTCACAGGCATAAAGAAAATAGAGGTGAAAGGAAAGTCTCACTGAGTTATCCATAGTGGGTCATTTGCTTAGTTGATCTTGTGGCTTGCAGTTGGTGCAGCTAAATGATCGGCCATTTTAATGGCCGATCTTTACCCTGCCGGCCCAAAGGAGATACTTGGTGCACAGAGGATGCTGCCACTCCTCTGTAACTATCCAAGAAGCCTCCTCAATGGTAGACATTCCTCCAGAGCGTATTTTTGATCCTCTAAGGGGTCTACCGGCAGGGGAAACTCGATCGGCAAAGGGATGACTCCCTTCGCTCAACCGCACCACCGTGAACCGGAACCGGAACCCGGTTTTTCTTGCCTAAGTGTAAAACCTCACTTTGATCACCACTGAGTTCCCTTTTGTTGGGCAGGATGCAGTGTTCAAATTTGTCAAGATCCCAGCAAGATACCAGCCAGTACAGGCAGTCCTCAACTTACAGGCTTAATTGAGCTTGAAATTATGGTTATAAGTCATGCCGGCTGTTAAGCAGATTATGATGCAACTAATTTCCCAACACTTTTTTTTGTGATGGTCATTGTCTGCAATAGATGTTTTTTGCCAGAAATCAGAAGTAAATGCCATTTTTCAGATAAAAAATGTGTGTTGTGGTGATGTGACTTCAGGACACTGTAAACGGCCATAAAATGGGCCAGTTGCCAAGCACCCAAAGTGGGGACAGTCACCAAAACTTTGAATGTGGTACCTTTTTGGAAGGTCCATTGTAACTTCAAATGGTTGCTAAACAACCAGTTGTGAGTCAAGGACTATCTGTATTCAAACAACCATATAAAAACCCAATTAACCAAGATTAGTCATTTTCATCAAAACAATGATAAACTGAGCTCTTAATTTCATTTTATAAAATAAATGTCTTAGACATTTGAATTATTGAATTATTAAAAGATTTTTAAAAAGATATCTATAATTGATTCAAATTAAACTTCTGGAATAAAAGTCTTAACATCAGCTGGTTTGATCCTGTCTTCTTATTAAAAGAATATAAACTTACCAATAATGACACCAACTTCACATCGCTGGTCATCATATCCACAGGTCATCATTGTTCCCACTGTGTCATTGACCAATGCCAAAACTTCTATATCAATGTCCTAATGGCACAAATACAAGAGAACCATATAATTAATTAAGATCTATTCATCCATTTGTTTTGGAAAGGTAATAAAGTATTTTTTACTAATAAGGGTGCAGCACTATTTTTTTTTTATTTGTTTGTATCACAGCTTTATTATTATTTTTACAAATAACTCAAGGCAGCAAACATATCTAACACACTTTCCTCTTCCTATTTTCCTCACACAATGATAACCCTCAGTCTTTGGGCTGAGAGAAAGTGACTGGACCAAAGTCACCCAGCTGGTTTTCATGGCTAAGACAGGACTTGAACTCACGGTCTGCCACTTTCTAGTGTGGGAAGTCAGCCTCCCTTCCAGAGAAATATTTTGGGGAATATTAAAAGGCAGAATATTATATTTCCCCAAAGGATTTTAAAGGCAGAACCCCCCAACCCCTCCCCAAGTCTCTCTGCCCCAAACAGAAACCAGGTCTGCAGAAATGCAGTTGTGATAATCTTATCAGAAAGATTGGAGCCAGGAAGCTTGGATTAGAAAAGACAAAGATCTCTAGAATCAACAATCCCTCACACCAAAAAAATCCAACATAGGACATAGCCATCAGCCACAGCCTCAGGGAAGCAGGATATGACCTTTGGGACATAATAGGATTAACCCACCACAATCAGAATACCAGAAAGGCACACTCAGACTCAGGTCAAAGTTCATGCCTCCAAACAAAGTTCAACAAAGTTCAACAACTCCAAACAAAAGCTCAAGAAGGTATAAAAACCCACCACTCCCAACTACATGTGTTCAGCTTTCCCAGAGCCATCTTTCTGTCTAGCTTTCCTCTTCAGTAAACTACAACTTTTTTTCTAAAGCAGTCTCCATTTTGCTTATTCCCAGCTTGGACTGGACCCTGATGATGTTCTTTCAACATTAGCCTGGTACCTTAACCACAAGACCAAACTGGCTCTCCTATGACAGTGAGCCTATGATATCTTACAATAATAGCTATGCATTATTCATATTATAGTAGTGAATTCATTGGTAAACTAATAACTGTTGATAAGATAGATTTTTCCTTTTTTCTTTTCTTTCTTAGTTTGTATTTTTAGTTTGTACTTTTTCTTTAATATTTTTAAAATTAAAGATTGTTTTGGTAAAAAAAATCATAGAATCATAAGGCTGGAAGGGACCTCAGAGGTCTTCTAGTCCAACCCCCTGCTTAAGACAGGTGTCCTTATACCATTCTGGACAAAGAATGGTTGGCCAATCTTTTCTTGAAAATCTCCAATTGTTTTCAACAACTCTAATTTTTTTAAAGTAACTAATGATATCACATGAGTTTGCTTTATACAATCAATATTGTTATATTATCGGACAGAGCTGCTAATGAGCAGGGTCACTGGTATTCCTAGAATATTGATCACTGGTAACTCCAGATAACCAAAGGTCAGGAATTTCAACAATGGCAAAAAAGTCAAATTATCAGGCTTATATTACAAATAAATTCCTTTCCATAAATAAATCAAAGTGTAGTAGAAACCATCTAAATACTGTTAAAACTCTCATATCTGTATACTTTCAGTGAAGTAGAGCATAATAGAGCAACCGTTTTTGAACCAAGGTACTCAAAAAGGTTGACTTACAAAAATGTATCTGAAATCTGGGACTCATGACTCCTGTGGAACTGAAATTTGGCAAATGTTATAAACCATTTTATGACATAAAAATTATAATAAAGTATTTTATGACATAATACAAAATGTTATAAAACATTTTCTATGGTCAAATCCGTGGTATGATTGTGCTATACAGTTCAACATGGGCTACTTCCAAGGCAGATATATCTTTGAATATCTCCCTGAATTTTTAAGAACTTTTCCAGTGCATCAGAAGCTCTGTATTGGGGAAGGCATTGACAAATCTGGTGAGGAAATATCTCTGAAAGGATGACTCAAAGGGTGATGGGTTGTTTAGTTTTGAAATAATGAACAGGACAATTTTTGTATGTGTCAGATTCAGCATGCACATTCAAAGAAATCTGGTAGCACCTTTTCCAACATACTATTATATTAAAAAGCATCAGCTTATGCCTGTTAATAAAAACAGTCTGAACTGCTGCTATCAGAATCCTGATTGTTTTGCCACTGTAGACCAACACAGTTCTACTCAGCATATATATCAATTAACAATATACACATTGGAGCTGAAACACAGATTATTCAGAAAACGTATCCTATTGAACTTGCCTTGTGTTTCCTGAGGGCTTTGCAGAGATTGCTCACCACATCAGTCTGTTGTACTCCTCGGGCTTTAAAATGTTTTGTCCATGAAAGAAGGACCCCCTACCAAAAGAGCAGTTATTAATGATAATAAATTAGACAACGTTGATGTAAACACATGAATGTTTGTGACTGGTGACTCAGCAAGAGTGACTCGATAAAATCATAATTTTTATCAATAAAAGAAAGACTACGGGTGACATGATAGCAGTATTCCAGTATTTGAGGGGCTGCTACAAAGATGAGGGGGTCAACTTATTTTCCAAATTACCAGAGGGCAGGGCAAGAAACAATGGATGGAAACCAATCAAGGAGAGAAGCAACCTGGAATTAAGGAGAAACTTTTTAACAGTGAGGACAATTAACTAGTGGAACAGCTTGCCTTCAGAAGTTGTGGGTGCTTCATCACCGAACGTCTTTAAGAAGAGACTGGTCAGCCACTTGTTTGAAAAGGTATAGAATCTCCTGCTTGGGCAGGGGGCTGGACTAGAAGACCTCCAAGGTACCTTCCAGCTCTATTCTGATTGAAATGTTTAAGTAATGGTGAATTTTTCAAAAGAAAATGGAGCACCATGGAAAACTCCAAACCTTTTCTTGGTCGAGTTGTAAGATCTTAAAGTTTAATGATTCCTAAAGGAGCCCAGATTCCCTATTCTATACCAATGTCTGAGAAAATACATGGGACTGGAACAGCACCAAATGGCTTCCTTTACCTCAAGCACCATTCAGTTCTTTTCAGACAGGGGTATGGATGGCATAGATCCTCATCCTCTCAATTTCAGTCCTTTCAGGTTTTTTAAAAGCAAGTTACTAGATTAGATTAGGCTGAAAAACTAATTGATATATCATACTGTTACATTAGCTTGCACACTTTAAAGCAGAATTCTGGGAATTGAAGTCCACACATCTTCAAGTTGTCAGAGTTAAGAAACACTGGTTAAAATTATTTTGGTAGTAAGTAATTTATTACCAATAATTTACCAACTATCCTAGTTAATAATTTTACTCTACTTATAATGTGGTATATAGGGTTACACTTACCTCCTCTAATTTATTCTGCCTACAGGGAAAAGAAAAGGTAAAACCAAGAGGTAATTTCTTATATTTTATATTTTTTGTTTCCATAAAGTCTGCAAGACAGTCAGCCACGTATTGAAATAGCTGGAAAGGAACACAGGCTAAATATTATTTTAATGGACCAATAATATCACATAATGATTAATACAAAATGCTTTTTGTATTTCCTTCCACATAAAGATTCTAGGCAGCTCACACTGAAAAAGAGGCAAAACAATATTATCAATTATCTATATAGTTAATTCTTAAGCATGTAAGCAAAACTCGAAACTCTTGAATCCAGCTAAAATGTCTTCCTACATCAATGTAACTGATTTGTTACCATTTCAATAAAAATTAATACCATCAACCTCCAGATATTTGGAAATGTAATCTCTCAGAATTTGTAGCCATCAGGAACTGCAATGCTAATATAGGTGGAAAATCTATGTGTAAGATCTGCCCCAGTCAGGTCCCTTAGGAAAGAAAGACCCTCGACTCCATTTTGGGTAAAATGATAGGTTCTTTTACTAAAGGTTTCTGCTTACAATAAAGTCAGGCTAGAACTAAGATTTCTGCACAAAAGATTATACATTTTCCCCCTCGTCCTAGACCTCACCCCATGACCAATCCGTCTTCAGCCAATGAAGAGCCACATGGGTGTTTTGAAAATTGCTGAGATGTTTGGGACAATCCACATTCCATTCTCAGGGTTTGTGGCCTTGAATACTGGTACAAATTGGTTCTATGCTTCCCTAGTCTTCATCAAGATGTCATCTCCCCCTCCCTATTTCCCTTCACATGCCCATACATGTTTATTACCCATTTGTCCCCCCTTGCCCCCTCAGCCCTAGCTTTTGATGGCAGGATGCTGGAAGATGGCAGAACTTACACTATGTTACTTTCGTTATTTGAGCTCTCCAACTAGAGAGAAAGAGTTGTTAACTGACATCAGACCATCATCTTACGAGCAATGTTTTTCAATCTCAACTCCTTTAAGATGTATGAACTTCAACTTCTAAAATTCTCTAGCCAGCATGGGAGTTGAAGTCCATACATCTTCAAGGGGCTGAGACTGAAAAACATTATCCTAGAGCAGGGGTGTCAAACTGCCGGCCTGCGAGCTGGATGTGTCACGATGAAACTGCCCCCACCCTATTGCCAGCAATGGGGAAAAAGCTCCGATATGTCGCGCAACATCACGTTACATCGTGAGTTTAACATGTCTGTCCTAGAGGTTCCGTGACTCTGCTATCCAGGGGAGGATCTGATAAATTTATCTGTAAAACCACAGGAATATATCTGAAGGTAGGATTCCTGCTCTCAAGAATCTTACACCAACTAGAAATCATAGATTTAGGAAGTCCATTTGCAGATACCATTATCCACTGAGTTGAATGCAGCAACTCCTATTGAAATATCCAGAGTTTGCAATGATTAAACAGGAAGTGTTATACGATGCAGTATTCATGTATGTCATGCCTCAAAATCCAGGAATCCATAAGAACAGATCTCAAAGGGATACAAATCTCAAAGCAATACGCTACTTACATCTGTTCCACTTCCCTGTATAATTTCTTTAGGTGTTGGGTAGAACTGACTCTCCATTTGTACATGTTGTTTTCCTTCTTCAGATACTTTAACATGTAAGACTTTAAATTTGGAACCACCCAGGTCCAAAGCTAGGAACTCTCCTTTTTCTGTAATAGTGAAGTAATAGTGAGTAATGATTAATTCTTCTACAAATTCTTGCCAAATGATGCTTCTTGAACCTCAATAGTTTTTTTATATAGAGATTGGATAGGGTTATTGGATGCTGCCATGTTTGAAGAGCCTCTAGTCTATAGACCCATGAGCCTACATTTTGTCTACAAAAACATTTATACAACATTTTAGTCTACGAAAACATGAGCTGTGGTGACGCAGTCATTAAAATGCAGTATTGCAAGCTTATTCTTCTGACTGCCATCAGTTTGATTTTCACCGGCTCAAGGTGACTTAGCCTTCCATCCTTCCAAGGACAGTAAAACGAGGACCCAGATTGTTGGGGGCAATATGCTGACTTTCTAAATCACTCAGAGAGGGCTGTACAGCACTGTGAAGTGGTATATAAGCAATGGTGGGATTCAGCCAGTTCGCACCACTTCGGCAGAATTGGTAGCTAATTTTTTGTTGCCCAGGCCCAGAATGGATTTCCGGAAGCAGCATCCACACAGAGAACATATTTGAATCCCACCACTGTAGATGCTACTGCTGTTGCTATCTATAAAGACATACAAGTTTCTTAAAAGATCAATTGCTTGTGGTTCCCCAGGCAATGAATCTATCAGGTGAATACTGTCCCAAGACTATGAGTAGAACTTCATTGTGGACTTTCATCACAAACATTAAAGGTGTCACAATATCAAGAAATCATTTGAGACTTAAGCTATTGGTTTAAGATCTTCTAATGTCGGAAGGATCCTGGTATGCTGAGATTTCCTCCCCCTCCTCCCAACATCCCCCAGTTATCTGCAAATGTCCAATCAGGTGCTTGTATATTCTTTAGGAAACAGCTGCTCGGTTCCTAGCTCTATATATTGTTAGTTGACCTTACCTGGCTGTAGCTTCTCACAAGGCTCAGCTGGGCTTCCATCCCCCACCCACCCCCATTTCTTCCTTACATTCTAATCTTTCCTTCCTCCCCACCCCACCCCCCGCCCCAACCAGGCTGTCAACTCAAGAAGCTTGGATAGGTGAGATGGAGCCATGACAGGTACAATGAGGACATGATAGTGATAGTGGTTATTAAACAAATCTGGCTTCACCCATTGACTTTGCTTGTCAGAAACCAACTTGGGAGGGCATAAATGGTGATCAAATGAACCCAGGACGCTGCAACCATTATAAATACATGCCATTTGCCAAGCACCCAAATTTTGATCACATGATTGGGGATGCTGTGACAGGTATAAGTGCAAGGACCAATCATAACTTGTAAATGCCATTGTAACTTATGATGGTCGCTAACTGAATGATGACAACCTGTTGGATTAAAAGAAAGGCCTTACCTGAACCATCAGGAAGTGACCTCACAAAAGTTGGTAGCATTTTTACTGTAGCTGTCGGATTGGTATCTCTTCCTAGACCTTTTGCCATCTCTGCTTGGAAGCGAGTCATCACATCATGTAAAATATCATCAGAAAGGCGCATCTGATACAGGTACCGGTCAACCTTGGAACAAAATATACCAACTACACATTAGTGTTCTCTCTCTCTCTCTCTCTCTCTCTCTCTCTCTCTCTCTCTCTCTCTCTCTCTCTTTCTCTCTCTCTCTCTTTCTAACTTTTCTCGGGAATATACTGTATGTATGCGTGCTTGTGGGACTGAAGGGTAATTCCAGATAAAGGAACACAAGGTGAGAAAAATGGAACACCTTCCAACCTTTGGGAAGATGGAAAATGCCATCAAACGAAGAAGAACACCAATGGAAAAAAAAGCTTCTGGGAGGCAAAGTCTTCCATTCCCAGCCTGATATCATCATTCCCCTTGAAAATATCAAAATTGCCCCCAAATTGTGCTGCTAATTTTGGGTACCAAAATTAATGCATTTTGACACTGCAGTTTCAGGGTCCTGGAGGCATTACAGGTGGGAAAGAAAACAGTTTTGCTACTTGCCTACTTTTAATTCTGAGAAAGGGAAAAAAAGAGAGGGGAGGGAATCCCCAAAATCAGCCACTTCATTTATGTCATCTATGGCAGTTGCTTTCTTTGTTTTTATTTTTTTTTTCCTTTATTTGTTAACAGCTCAGGCAGAGTTGGCCCAAAGCATTTTGCAGCTTGAAAATAAAGTCCAGATAAAAGTGGAAAGCACACCAGGTGGAGATGCGAAGTCTGGACTGGGAAAAGAACTTTCCTTCAGGTTTTGGTGATAGGGCAGCATCTTTCATGATGTGTGAAGGCAGGAGGCTTGCTTGGGCTATAAAGTATGGAGAGAACAGTTTTGCCTCCTGTAGGCAAGTTGCAGCATCTCCTGCTTGGAATCCTCTGTCTAACCAGAGAGCCATCACTAAAAAGGAGCAAAGTTTATTGTCAGGCAGGATTTTTTTTTTTTTTTTTTTTTTATTGAAATTTTTCAAAAGTTTTACAAATAAAAATCCACCCCCCCCTCCCCAACCACCCCACCCCCCCCCGACTTCCCAGAACTGAATATAGGATTATTTAACAAATATTTTAAAAATAACATTTGCAATTTATAAAATAATTAATAATAATAATAAAAATCACAATAATAATATATATAATAATAATATACATAACATAAACTTTAAAATGAATAATATATACTAAAAAAGAAAAAAAAAAAAAATAAAAAGAGAAGAGAGAGAGAGAAAGAAGAAAGAAGAAAGTAGACGAAGAATAAAGCATATATATATATAAAAAAAAAATATATGAATAATAATACATAAAAAATGTATATATATAAAAAAGAAAAAGAAGAAAGAAAGAAAGAAAAAACAATCATTACAAATTATAAAAAGGCTAAATAATATTTTTCCATATCCAAATTATGTTGTATAAAATTTATCCATTTTTCCCATACCGCAAAAAATTTTTCTTGAGATTGCTCCTTTAAGAAAGCCGAAATCTTTGCCATTTCTGCCAAATACGAAACTTTATGAAACCATTCTTGTAAAGTAGGCAAAGATTCCTTCTTCCAATATTGTCCTATTAACAACCTAGCGGCTGTAATCAAATTTAACATCAATATAACCTCCTTAGCATCACAGTCAATAACAATACCTAGTAAAAATAATTGCGGAGTAAATTTTACCCTCCTTTTAAAAATTCTTTGAATATTCCACCATATCTTAATCCAAAAAGCTTTTATATGCTTACACGTCCACCAAATATGGTAATAGGTAGCATCCAAATATCCACATCTCCAGCATTTCGGCTGTAGATTAGGGTACATAATGGACATTTTCTTTGGGTCAAGGTGCCATCTATAAAACATCTTATAAAAATTCTCTCTTAAATTTTGCGCTTGTGTGAATTTAACATTTCTTATCCAAATAAGTTCCCAAGTATCCATTGAAATCGTTTCACCAATATTCTGTGCCCATTTAATCATACAATCTTTAACTAGTTCAAGTTCTGAATCTAATTCCACTAAAACCCCATAAACTCTCTTAATATGGGTTGGCCTTTGATCTCTTACTTGTTTTAAAAAAATTTCATCTTCTCTAAGCCAGCCCATTTTACAATCCATCTTCCATCTATCCACTATTTGTCTATATTGGAACCATGAATAAGTTAAGTTTTCATGTGTTAATTCTTCCAAAGATTTTAACTGCCAGTCTTGGCCATCCCATCTTAATAACTGTACATAAGAGACCTTATCCATATTTACCCCTTTCCTTATACCTTCTATGGCATGCCGAGGTATAGCCCATAATGGTATTTTGAAGTCACTTTTATAATACTTTCTCCACACTCTTAGCAAAGAGTTTCTTATAATATGAGACTTAAAAACCCAATCCACTTTTTTATTAAATATTAAATAGGCATGCCATCCAAAAAATAGGTCCCAACCTTCCAAATGAAGTATTTCTGTATTTGTTAAATTCACCCAGTCGCTAATCAATGTCAATACTACAGCATCATAATACAATTTCATATTTGGTACCTTGAGTCCACCTCTCTCACGAAAATCTTGCATTATTTTAAGTTTCACCCTTAGTTTTTTCCCTGCCCAAACAAATTTATTAATACCTTTTTGCCATTCATCTAAATTACGTTCGTTCTTTAAGATAGATAACATTTGGAACAAAAAAATAAACTTTGGCAGGACATTCATTTTAATAACTGCAATTCTGCCCATAAGGGATAACTGTAAATTATTCCAGTTTTTTTGTCAGGCAGGATTTTATAATGCTTGGTCTTCTAGACGAGGGGTCCCCAACCTGTGGGGCGCGGCCTGGTAGTGGGCCATGGCCTACTGACCACTAGGCCGCAGGACAGGCTGACCAGTGCGTGCACATGTGCGCACATCCCACCCCACTCATGATAGCGCCGCAGCTGTGGGGCGTGAAAACAGGACTGTCAATGCTGCAAATACTGTATATTCTTGCTTTGACAATATGCAAAACTGTCTGGTATTTACTGGGTTAATACATAGCTTAGAGTGGGGGGGGGGTAAAAAGCCCTGGAAAGAAAGAGGAAGTAAACTTTTGACCTTCACACTAATTGGATAATGTGACTTGTGACTGCAAGATAAGGGAGGGGTTTAGCAAGAAAAGTTTGATGCCAGCAAAAGGAAGTCAGATTCTGGCATCAAAACGTCCATGATGGTGACCGGCAATTTGTAGCTCTGTAATAAAGACTTTAGGAAACATGCCTGAAAGTTCTTTGAAGTGCTTCATTAGTTGGAATCCTGACATCATGCCAGAATCCAACATTCTTTTCAAATGACCTGCGGTCCCGAACTCCATCAGCTGCCTCTATGCTTGAGAGGAGCTGGCAAAGATTCGGGGAAGATCTCATTATGGAGAAAGAAAGATTGCCTGAGACCAGCCCCGTGGCTGCAACAGTTTCCCCGGGGGGGGGGGGGGGAAGCGACAGCCAGCAAGCCGGGGGAGAGAGGAATTTGGCAGATTTCCCAGCTGAGAGCGAAGACTTCAAAAGCAGAATGGACAGATAACACAGTTATGGGTGAGTCGTTGGAAAGATTTTAAAACTCAGAAATGAAAACCAGAAATCAATTCCTACAAAGTGAAACCTACAGCCCTTCTATTGCAAATGTTCCTGCCATGGACTCCAGCCCCGAGAGAGAGAATCCCAGTCTGAATCCTCTGCAGCAAGGGGGAAATTGGGTTTCCCAGCAGGTGGCTGATCCATGTCCTCTGAACTTAGCACAGCTAATAGAGGCTTTGCAATGCCTTGGGGTGGTACAGAAGCCAGGAGATAAGCAGCTGTTGGGAGAACAGCCACAGCAAGGAGGTTGGCCACAGCCCCCAAACGTGCAACCCCTGGGCATAAATCTGCAGCCAGGTTGGGGCCTACAGCAACTGGGGGGGGCACAAGAGCAGTGTGGAGCCCAGGAGGAAGCCTGCCAGACCCTGCCTTCACCGGCCAGAGACCCCAACACTGAAGAGAGGGTGAGTTCCAGTCTGAGGCATCTGCAGCAATGGGTAGATGGGTTTCCCCAGCTGATGAATGATCATCAGCAGCAGAGGGCGTCACCATCCCCTGCAGTCCAACAACAGAGAAGACCACTACAATCCCCACTTGCACAGCCACCATTGGGAGGCCTACAGCAGCAGGGGGCACCATCCAACCCCGCTGGCCAGCAGCAGAGGGCCCAGCAGCCATGGAACCAGTCCCAGTGGGGGCCACAGCAGCCTGTGTTCGCACCACTTTTCAATGCAACCTTTGATGGGGACCCAGAGAAGCTGATTTTTTTCCTCAACCAAGTGCGTTCTCACTTGAAACGTTGGGCCTATCTGTACCCGGAACCAGGGGCCATGGTCGATATTATTGCATCCAACCTAGAGGGAGAAGCATCTGAATGGCTGAACAATTTATATAGCGAGCAAGCCCCCGAATTGGAAGATCCCCACCGCTTTCTTTTAAGTCTGAGAGAACGATTTGAGGACCCATCCATTGGCCTCAAAGCAGCAGGACAAATTCACAAAATAAAACAAGCCGGGAGGCCTGCCCTGGAGTACATGCGAGAATTCCGCAAGATAGCAGGTCGAATAGAGGAGTGGCCTGAGCAGTCCCTCATCCATTACTTCATCGAGGGATTAGACGATCACCTCTCTCAGGCCTGCATCTATCGAGAAATACCTGATCGGTTGCAGGAGTAGTACCAGACAGCCGTGAAGCTAGATGTTAAGCTCTCTCGCTATAAGAAGCCTCCCCCACATGAACCCGAGCAGCAACCAGAGCTACCTGGACAGCAATCACCCCCACGAAAGCCTTCAGCTACTGCAAGGGCTGAGAGACCCAGGCCACCTACACGTCCTTCCTTCGAGTGTTTCCAGTGTGGACAAGGAGGACACCGAGTGGCCACCTGTCCAGTCCCCTACCCTTTACTGCAGAGCAAGCCAGGACCGGCAATGCAAAAGAAACCTGCTCAGCGGCTAACGAGACAAAAATCCAATTGACTCACGCAAGAATCGGTTGCCTGGTTGTCCCCCACACAGGAAGATGCTGGGACTCCAAGTGGA